GATCGAGGGGTGGACTTAACAATGGACACTATTACCCAGGTTATTCATGAGTGTGAAATGTGCTGCAATTAAACAAGCCAAACAGTTAAAGCTTCTTTGGTATGGAGGACGATGGCTAAAGTACAAATATGGGGAGGCCTGGCAGATTGACTATATCACACTGCCACCAACCCGCCAAGGCAAGCGCCATGTGCTTACCATGGTGGAAGCAACCACCGGGTGGCTGGAAACATACGCTGTGCCCCACGCCACTGCCTGGAACACTATCCTGGGCCTTGAGAAACAGATTTTGTGGTGACACAGCACCCCAGAAAGAATTCACTCAAACAGTGGGACTCATTTTCGGAACAACCTTATAGACACTTGGTCCAAAGAGTATGGCATTGAGTAGGTATATCACATCCCCTGTCATGCACCAGCCTCTGGGAAAATTGAATGATACAATGGGCTGTTAAAAACTACACTGAGAGCAATGGGTCGTGGGACTTCCAAACACTGGGATACACATTTACCAAAGGCTACCTGGTTGGTCAACACCAGAGGATCTGCGAACAGGGCTGGCCCAGCCCAGTCAGAATTTTCACGTACTGTAGAGGGGGATAAGTTTCCTGTGGTGCACATAAAGAATTTTCTGGGGAAGACAGTCTGGGTTATTCCTGCTTCAAATAAAGACAAACTTACTTGTGGGATTGCTTTTGCTCAGGGACCTGGATATAACTGATGGTTAATGTGGCAAGACGGGGAAGTCTGCCATGTACCTCAAGGGGATTTAATTTTGGGGGAAAACAGCTAACAAACTTGATTATATGATTTTGCCTGCTATATAACACATTTAACAGCCCATCAGCTAGATGCCCATCTCCACCACTCTGGGCTTTAAAAATATATGTGCTGTCAGGATCATATCAGAGAATAAAATCATGGAAAAAGCCTGTGGCAGCAGCAGGAGTCTCCCAGTACTGTCGTCAGGTCACCATCGACTGACCCTGACTTCCCTCTGATCATCACCCCAACAAAGAACGAACTTTGATGAAATGAGACATGCTCAGCAGTGACCAGAGGAGTTCAGCGGTGTCGTCAGCAGGCAACTATCTGACACAACACGCCTTCTCTTCTGCCCTAAAAGACGGTTACATCAGATGGAGCCTGTATATACTGTAGAAGGGGAACAAAGTTCCTATGGTGCACATAAAGAATTTGCTGGGGAAGACGGTCTGGGTTATTCCTGCTTCAGGTAAAGGCAAACCCACTCGTGGGATTGCTTTTGCTCAGGGACCCGGATATACTTGGTGGGTAATGTGGGAAGATGGGGAAGTCTGATGTATACCTCAAGGGGATTTGATTTTAAGGGAAAACAGCCAATGAACTTAATTGTATGCTATTGCCTGCTATGTAGCACTTTTATAAGCCCACCAACTAGATGTCTTCAGGTCACCAGCAACTGGCCCTGACTTCCCTCCAACCATCATCCCAAGAAAGAATGAACTTTGATGAAACCAGACGAGTTCTGCCATAAAGGAACTACCAGCATCAGTAGGCAATGATCCAACACTGCACACAGCTCTCCTGCTCTGAAAGACTGTTACAAGAGATGGAGCCTGACATCATGGACTGAATGGACTCAGCAGAATTATAGGGATTGTTCCATGCACTAAGGAATGATCTCTCAGTCTCTCTCTGTGGATGTATATATATGTATATATATGAGATAAGAGTGATGGTATATTGAAGATGTGGGATCTGAGCATGACGTGAATGGTATGGAATTAGGGGTGCATACTGTCCTGGGTTCAGCAGTAGCAGTCGTTTTTCTCCTTCTTGGTGGCTGGTGCAGTGCTGTGTTTTTGACTTTCAGCCTGGGGGCAGCACTGATAACACCGATGTTTTTGGTTGCTGCTTAGTAATGTTTACTCTGACCAAGGACTTTCTGAGTCTCATGCTCTGCCAGGGAGAAAGGGGAAGCTGAGAGGAAGCAGAGACAGGACACCTGACCCAAACTGACCAAAGAGGTATTCCATACCATAGCACATCATGCTCACTATATAAACTGCGGGGCAGTTACCCGGAAGGGCTAGATCACTGCTCGGTCGAGCTGGGTATCAGTCGGCAGGTAGTGAGCAGTTGTATTCTCTTCCCTTGTTATTTCCCTTATTATTATTGGTGGTAGCAGTAGTGGTTTTGTGTTATACCTTAGTTACTGGACTGTTCTTATCTCAACCCATGGGAGTTACATTCTTTCTGTTCTCCTCCCCATCCCTCCGGGAGCGGGGGGAGGACGGGGGGAGTGAGCGAACAGCTGTGTGTTTTCTGACTGACGGGCTGGGCTTAAACCATGACAGTCAGTGACATGGACAGTGGGACTGAGTGCACCCTCAGCAAGTTTGATGATGACACCAAGCTGTGTGGTTCAGTTGATACGCTGGAGGGAAGGAATGCCATCCAGAGGGACCTTGTCACACTTGTGAGGTGGGCTGATGCCAAACTTATGAAATTTAACCATGCCAAGTGCAACATCCTAGACCTGGGTAGGGGCATTCTCAGGCACAGCTACAGCTTGGGCAGAGAAGAGATTCAGAGCAGCCCTGTGGAGAAGGACTTTGGGGTGTTGGTCGATGAGAAAATGAACATGGGCCAGCAGTGTGTGCTTGCAGCCCCGAAAGCCAACCGTATCCTGGGCTGCATCAAAAGGAGTGTGACCAGCAGGTTGAAGGAGGTGATCCTGCCCCTCTACTCTGGTCTCGTGTGACCTCACTTGGAGTATTGTGTACAGTTCTGGTGGCCTCAACATAAAAAGGACATGGAACTGTTGGAACAAGTCCACAGGAGAGCCACGAGGATGATCAGGGGACTGGAGCACCTCCCATATGAAGACAGGCTGAGAAAGTTGGGGCTGTTCAGCCTGGAGAAAGCTGCATGGAGAGCTCACAGCAGCCTTCCAGTATCTGAAGGGGGCCTATAGGGATGCTGGGGATAGACTGTTCATTAGGGACTGCAGTGATAGGACAAGGGTTAACAGGTTAAAACTTAAACAGGGGAAGTTTAGATTGGATATAAGGAGGAAATTCTTTACTGTATGGGTGGTGAGGCACTGGAATGGTTTGCCCGGGGAAGTTGTGAATGCTCCATCCCTGGTGGTCTTCAAGGGCAAGTTGGATCAAGCCTTGGGCGACATGGTGTCTCTGCCCATGGCAGGGTGGTTGGAACTAGATGATCTTAAGGTCCTTTCCAACCCTAAGTATTCTGTGATTCTATGAGAGACTGAAAAGTCCTTGATCATTGTAAGTGCTACTTAGCAACAACTAAAACATTGGTTTATCAGCATTGTTGTCAGACTAAAGCCAAAACACAGCACTGTACCATCTACTAGGAAGAAAAAAAACAACTGTTATAGCTGAAACCAGGACAGAACTGCAAGTCTGTTATGAGGTCTCCTGGGAGCCTTCTCTTCTCCAGGTTGAAGAAGCCCAGCTCTTTCAGCCTGTCTCCATGGAAGTGCTCCAGCCTTCAGAGCATCCTCATGGCCTCCTCTGGACTCACTCCAACAGCTTTACATCCCTCTTGAGTTGTTGCCTCCAAGAGCTGGAGGCAGGACTGCAGGGGGGCATCTCATGGGAGCAGAGGGGGAGGATCACCTCCCTCAACCTGCTGGTCATGCTCCTTTTGATGGATCCCAGCATATGGTTGGCTTTCTGGGCTGTGAGCATACACTGCCAGCTCATGTTGAGCTTTTTATCAGCCAACACCCCCAAGTCATTCTCCACAGGCCTGCTCTCAGTCCAGTCTCTTAGTAGGCTGTAGTTGTGCTTGGTATTGCACTGACTCAGGTGCAGGACCTTGCACTTGGCCTGGTTGAATTTCATAAGGTTCATATGGGCTCACCTCTTGAGTCCATCAAGGTTCCTCTGGATAGCATCCCTTCCCTCTAGCATGCAGACTGCACCACACAGCTTAGTGTCATCAGCAAACTTGCTGAAGATGCATTCAATCCCCTGTCCATGTCACCAACAAAGATATTGAACCGTGCCGGTCCCAGTACCTACCCCTGAGGCGGACCACTTACCACCAGTCTCCATTTGGACATCAAGCCGTTCACAACAACAAAGTAGAGTGAATTGCTTATCACTAACTACTTCATACTTGGGCTTAAGCAAATACCAAGCATTTGCTGTGCATTTGAAATGCTAACTGGACTGTCTTCAGCCAAGAGCTGATCACACTTTTATCTGTGAAGGCACAATCTGTAAGAGAGCAATGTCCTAGGAAGGGTACAACCTTAGAGCAGTGCACACCCTCCAAGTCTAGACCTTCAGCTCACTGGCTAAAGGAACTACAGGTTTTATTCTAATCCAAGTGAAATGATTAGAGACAGTCTTTATAAGACACTGAATGTGAGTGGCTGGTTTGAAAGTCATCTTGCTGGTAAGTGAATGCTTTGGAGTCTGTTGTGGCACCACCTGGCCCAGGTGGAAGCTAGCCTGAATCAGAATTAATTCTCTCAGGGCAGAGGACCATTGCAGACCTCATTCTCTTGCAGGATGTGAAAGGACAGGTGTTGAAATATATAGCAGATGCCGAGTCTTATCACTCAGGGCACTACTAGAAGCTCTTGAATGCTGCAGTAGAGCCAAATGTGTCCCTAATCATAGGGGAAAGCTGGCTTTTCTGGAGCTTAAATGAGTGTTGGGTGCTGCCTGGTGAAGAGCATTTGAACCCAAGCAGTAACTGCTGGGTCATGGATGTGGGTGATTTATCCCAGTGGGCTGGTTTCCTGCTTTGCAGTGTGAGGAACTGAGTCCTTTCTTCTGTTCTCATGTGGGGTGCTGTGGGTCTGACAGTGCGGACAACCTTGCCAGGCTGATCGCCAGCAGTAGCAGCAGGGTGTGCAGTACCGTGTCTGCAGGCAAAGATGCATTCACCGAGGTTGTGGATGCTTGGAGCAAAGCATATGGAGGGTGGTTGACTTTCTCATTGTTTATGGCTTTTTTTTGTTTGTTTTCCAGGTGTTTCTGTGACCTCAAGTAACACAGGTGTACCTGATATCAGCGGCTCAGTCTATAACAAGACTCAGGTGAATAATACTGGATCCTCCTCTGTAGCCTGAGGCCAGGCTAATGGCTGCCCTTGTGGAACACTGGTGGCTAGGACCATTCCCAGGCCAGTTGGTCAGCAGGCTATGGCATTTCTTACATTGGCTCTGCTGTTGGAGAAGAGTCTCATTCTCTGTCTCACTGCTTTTGCCATGTCAGTTCCTGATGGCAGCTGCTGGCATAGGTGTAGTGCTCTATGCTGCCCCACACATTCTGTGTTCTGGGTGCAAATGAAGTGTGATGTCATGCAAAATGGTATCTTGGGCTGCATTAGGCAAAGGACTAATGTTTTTCATCAAAATAGCACCCAAAGCAGCTGAATCGGGAAGCTGGGTTGAGCTTTGGCAAGGGGGAGGAAAATCTCATTGCAAATTCTTCTTGTGTTTTTGTTGGGCCTCTCTGGGTAGGTTGAATAATTCCAGGCTGAGCCCATGCAATGTGTGAAGGGCTGATTTTAGGCAGCTGCTGCCATCCCATGTCCTGCTGAGTAAAAAAGAGGTCAGTGAAAAAAGGAGCATAGTAGCTGTGGAAATAAAATATTGGAGGCATTAGTACAGAAGTATGGGTGAGAACAGAAACTGAAACTCATCTGCTGAAGTGCTCACAGGTGTGACTTGGCTTGCTCATGGGGTTGGTGAAAAGTTCAGGTCATTTGTGTTTGGGCCACTCTTGTTCTTGATCCGGTCACTGTGGGGCTGCTCACACCAGTCTCTGATGCTGCCCCCCTCACCTCCCATGCAGATGTTTGACAAGCAGGGATTCCATGCTGGCACACCATCTCCTTTCAGCCTGCCCTCTGCTCCCGGATCCACTGGGCCCCTGAACCCTGGTGCTGCCCCAGGTTATGCTCCAGCCCCATTTCTCCATATCCTGCCTGCACATCAGCAGCCTCATTCCCAGATGCTGCATCACCATCTTCAACAAGATGGGCAGGTGAGTTGTCCCATTCCATATCTACAGTGTGCCCAAGGGCAGATTGCTCCCACCCACATCCCAGCAGGAACTTGGAGGTTTTTGCTAATGTCTGGTTTTTGCTTTGCTCATTGGGAAAGGGCCTTGACAATGATTGCAGACTGTTGACCAGCTTGGGGAGGGAACCTCATGAAATTCAGCAAGGGGAAGTGCAAAGTCCTGCACCTGGGAAGGAACAACCCCATGCACCAGTATATGCTGGGGCCCAAAGCAGTTTGGTAGAAAAGGCCCTGGACATGCTGGTGGGCACCAAGTTGACTATGAGACAACAATATGCCATTGCTGCAAAGAAGGCCAAAGGCATCCTGGGCTGCATTAGGCAAGGTACTACCAGCAGGTCAAAGAAGGTCATCCTACCCCTCTGCTTAGCACTGGTAAGGCCACACCTGGAGTCGTGTGTCCAGTTCTGGGCTCCTCAAGTACAAGAGATACATGGATGTATTTAAGAGACAAAGGGCCACAAGGATGGTGAAGTGACTGGATCGTCTTTCCTATGAGGAAAGGTTGAGAGAGCTGGGACTGCTCAGCTTGCAGAAAAGAAGGCTCAGAGGGATCTTAGCAATCTATATAAATACCTGAAGGAAGAGTGTGAAGGGAATTGAACCAGGCTCTTTTCAGTGGTGCCCAGTGACAGGACCAGATGCAATGGACTATTGTGGTTTAAACCCAGCCAGCAACTAAGTACCATGCACCCACCCGTGGTGGGATGGGAGAAGAGAATAACTAACAATAGGGAACAATGAAAAAGGAGAAATAAAAATTCAGGAAACCAATTGATGCACAATACAATTGCTCACCACCTGCAGACCAATACCCAGTGACTGATCCCTTCCAGGTGACTCCCCCCAGTTTATATACTGGGCATGATGTGCTGTGGGATGGAATACCTCTTTGGCTAGTTTTGGTTAGGTGTCCTGTCTCTGCTTCCTCCTGGCTTCCCTTGCCCCTCCTCACTGGCAAAGCATGAGACTGAAAAGTCCTTGATCAGGGTAAGTGCTACTGAGCAACAGCTAAAACATTGGTCTGTTACCATCGTTGTTCTCAGACTAAAGCCAAAACACAGCACTGCACAAGAAGGAAGAAAAACAGCTGTTACAGCTGAACCCAGGACAGTATCCACCCCTTATGCCATAACAGTTACATCATGCTCAGATCCCACATTTTCTGATATACCATCAACTTTTCTGTCTCTTGAGATACATAAACACATACACATGTCACTCCTTTAGTGTATGGGCCATCCCTAGAAGAGTCGGTTGAGTTCTTTCAGTCCATGACATTGGGAACCATTTGTATTAACAGTCCTTCAGGGCAGGAGAGATGGTGTGTGGTGTTGGATTGTTGTATGCTAAAGCCAGTTCTTATATCATCACCACTGCACTCATCCAGATTCCTCAAAATTCATTCTCTGTTAATATGATGATTGAAAGGGAGTTGGGGTTAGGCCCCCAAGTCCAGAGCGGTGGGGGTGCCCAGTGCAGTGATGGCCATCTAGCTACCATAGAAGTGTTATACAGCAGGCAACAGCATGCAATTAAATTCACTGGCTGTTTTCACCAACAATTAAATCCCCTTGAGGTACACACTGTACTCTCCCATCTTCCTGCATTACCCACCAAGTGCACCCAGGTCCTTGAGCAAAAGCAATCCCCCGAATGGGTTGGCCTTTACCTAAAGCAGGAATAACCCAGACCCTCTTCCCCAGAAAATTCCTTATGTGCACCACAGGATTTATCCCCCTCTACAGTATGTAAATGTTCTGATTGGGCTGGGCCAGCCCTGTTGGCAGATCCCCTAGTGTTGACTAACCAGATGACTTTTGGTAAATGTGTATCCCAATGTTTGAAAGTCCCACCACCCATAGCTCTCATTGTAGTTTTTAACAGCCCATTGTCTCAATTAATTTTTGCAGAGACTGGTGTGTGATAGGGGATGTGATATATCCACTCAATGCCATGCTCTTTGGCCCAAGTGTCTATAAGGTTGTTCCGGAAATGAGTCTCATTGTCTCACTCAGTTCTCTCTGGGGTGCTGTGTCGCCAAAAGACTTGTTTCTCAAGGCCCAGGATAGTGTTCCAGGCAGTGGTGTGGGGTACAGCGTATGTTTCCAGCCATCCGGTGGTTGCTTCCACCATGGTGAGCACATGGTGCTTGCCTTGGTGGGTTGGTGGGAGAGTGATATAGTCAATCTGCCAGGCCTCCCCATATTTGTACTTTAGCCGTCGTCCTCCATACCAGAGAGACTTTAACTGCTTGGCTTGCTTAATTGCAGCACGTATTTCACATTTGTGAATAACTTGGGCAATAGTGTCCATTGTTAAGTCTACCCCTTGATCACGAGCCCATCTATATGTTGCATTTCTGCCTTGATGGCCTGAGGTGCCATGGGCCCACTGGGCTAAAAATAATTCACCCTTATGTTGCAAATCTAAATGCACGAGCCACTTCAATCTTAGCAGCTTTATCCACCTGTTGGTTGTTCTTATGTTCCTCAGTGGCCTGACTCTTAGGCACATGAGCATCTACGTGGTGTGCCTTCACCACCATGTTCTGCACCTGAGCAGCGATATCTTGCCACAGCACAGCAGCCCAGATAGGTTTACCTCTGCGTTGCCAGTTACTCTGCTTCCATTGCTTCAACCACCCCCACAGGGCATTTGCTACCATCCATGAGTCAGTATAGAGATAAAGTACTTGCCATTTTTCGTATTCAGCAATGTCCAAGGCCAGCTGGATGGCTTTCACCTCTGCAAAGTGTCTTGACTCACCTTCTCCTTCAGCAGTTTCTGCAACTTGTAGGGGACTTCGTGTAGCTGCCTTCCATCTCCAATGCTTATCGCTTCTCACTTTCTGACAGTTTCTTGTACAGTGGGTCCTCTGAAGCAGCTTGACCCCCTTCATAAGCTGCCAGTATCTCTTTATTCAGTTCGAGTATAGCTGGCCTCAGATCCTCTGTATCCCCAACTCCAAAAATCAAGGAGTCAACCTCGAGTCTCCCCTGGAACTTTCTGCCAGAGGCTGCAGGTAGGACCATTCTCCCTGGCTGCAGCGTAAAGCACGTTTTTCACATCTTGCCCAGTCTGAACTGGTCCAAGGGCTACTGCATGAACTCTCTCTTGTTTAATTTGTTCAAAGGCTTGGTGTTGCTCAGGGCCCCATTTAAAATCATTCTTCTTCTGGGTCACATGATAGAGAGGGCTTACAATCAAATTGTAATTTGTGATGTGCATTCTCCAGAACCCCACAACACCCAAAAAAGATTGTCTTTCTTTCTTATTTGTTGGTGGAGACATTGCTGTTATCTTGTTGATCACATCTGTGGGGATATGGTGACTTCCATCTTGCCATTTTATTTCCAAAAATTTAATCTCCTGTGCAGGTCCCTTGACGTTACTCGTTGTAAGGAAAAACTGCCCTTCAGAAGGATTTGTATTTTCCTCCCTTTCTCAAAAACTTCTTCTGCTGTATCACCCCACATGATAATGTCATCAATGTATTGCAGATGTTCTGGAGCATGCCCCTGTTCCAGTGCAGTCTGGATCAGTCCATGGCAGGATGGTAGGGCTGTGTTTCTACTCACTCCTGGGGCAGTTGATTCCAAGTGTACTGGATTACCCTCCAAGTAAAAGCGAACTGTGGCCTGCTCTCTGCTGCCAAAGGAAATGAGAAAAATGCACTGGCAATATCAAATGTGGCATCCCACTTGGCTGCCTTTGACTCCAGTTCATACTGAAGTTCTAGCATGTCTGGTACAGCAGCACTCAATGGTGGTGTGACTTCATTCAGGCCATTATATTCTATTATTAGTCTCCACTTTCCATTAGACTTTTGCACTGGCCATATTGGGCTATTAAAGGTTGTGCAGGTCCTGCTGATCACTCCTTGGCTCTCCAGCCTATGGATCATCTTATGGATGGGAATCAGGGAGTCTTGGTTGGTACGATATTGCCACCGGTGCACTGTTGTGGTTGCGATTGGCACTTGTTCTTCAACCTTCATCAATCCCACAACAGTAGGATCCCCTGAGAGACCAGGCAAGGTGGACAGCTGCTTAATTTCCTCTGTTTCCAAGGCAGCTATACCAAAAGCCCATTGTTACCCTTTTGGGTCCTTGGAATATCCTTTCCTAAGGTAGTGTATGCCAAGGATTCATGGAGCCACTGGACCAGTCACAATGGGGTGCTTTTGCCACTCCTTCCCAGTCAGGCTGATTTCAGCCTCCAGTACAGTCAGCGCTTGGGATCTTCCTGTCACTCCAGAAATACAAATGGGTTCTACCCCTTGATAGCCTGATGGCATTAGTGTACATTGTGCCCTGGTGTCTACTAGAGCCTTATAGTCCTGTGGCTTTGACATGCCAGGCCATCTGATCTACAACTGTTTTTCCTTGCAATTCACATATCCGTGCGTATAGGATTGAGATGGGTTTTCCATCCCACTTCTTCTCCATGATTCCGCAGATGCTGTGCTCACCTGGAACACGGCTGATATCTTTTTGCATATTCCGCAGATCAGTCAAGGATAAGGATTAAGAGGTTATCTCTGGTTCTGCCTGCTCTTCCTGTTCTGATGATGGTCCTGGTTCTTCCTCCTTCACTGAACAAATTGTTTTTCATTTCCATTTCCTCTTGCGTACAGGGACAGCTGATAGTGACACAGGTTGGTTCTCTGATTCAGTTATATCACTCATCACAGACTGCTGAGTAGTTGTTCTTCTTGTTGGGAGTTGAATAGTACAGTACTGGTCACAGGAATTAAATCAGCTGCAGTGCTTGTCCCCAAATTTTCAATAGCCACCATACTTGCTGCTGGGGTTTGAGTGGCTGCAGTACTTGTTATGGGGATAAAAATTACTGTGGTGCCTGTTGCCAGACTCTGAGTAGCCGTGGTACTGGTCATAAGAGTTTGAGTAGCTACAGTGCTTGTTGCAGAGTTTGAAGTGGCTCCAATGCTTGTCACTGGGGTTTGAGTAGCTCTAGTGCTTGCTACTGGGATTTAAGTAGTTATAGCGTGTGTCACTGGGGTTGAAGTAGGTACAATCCTTGTTACTGGGGTTTGAGTAGCTCTAGTGCTTGCTACTGGGATTTGAGTAGTTATAGTGTGTGTCGCTGGGGTTGAAGTAGCTGCAGTCCTTGTTGCCAGAGTTTGAGTAGCCACAGTGCCTGTCACTTGAGTCCGAGTCCCTCTCTTTCGAGCTGCAGTGCTTCTCATAGGGGTTGGAGTTGCCACATATAGCTGTTTAATCCTAAGCAAGATCTGAACCATATACAACAACATGCGTTTGCCTAGCAAAAGAACCAGCCTGGTTTCAAGAGTATTCAAAGGATATTCAAAATCTTTAAAATTCTCAGATACTACTGTAATTATCCTGGAGGAGAAGGATATTGGAAGGAAGGAAAGCAGGCAGGCTGGCTGGAAGAAGATGTTCCTGTTACATGTTGCCTCTCTGAGGAAAAAAGCTGAAGGCATAATTATCAATAGTTCCCACCAAATGGCTCCTGAGAGACAAAGGTGATGACAATACGAGTACACATACCAAATTAGTCTCATGATCAGTGATTCTGTCATATCATAACCCAGCACTACAAAGTACAACAACATGATAGCAGACTGGAGCACAGAAATTTCCCTCTGAACATCAGGAAACACTTTTTGACTGTGATGGTGACCAAGCACTGGCACAGCTTGCCTAGGAGGTTGTGGAGTCTCCATCCTTGGAGCTGTCAGGACATGGTCCTGGGCAACTGGCTCTAGGCTTGAGCAGAGGGACTGAACTAGATGATCTCTAGAGGTCCCTACCAGCCTCTGCTAGTCTGTGATTCTGTGAAGAGGCCATCTTCATGTGTGGTGTGGAGAGATGGGCTTTGAGGTTTGAAGCAGAGGCAGGTGCTGCTGTCCCCTGGCTGCAGCAGGAAAGCAGGATGTGAGCACTTGTACTGTAATTCTGGGGGTAAAAAATCAAGCATCCACTTACAGTTTACATATCAACTCTGATTTGGTTTCACCAGCCCATTCATTTCCTTTCCTCACTATAAAAGTTCCTTGAAAAAAGTGTTCTGCCTTAGAGTCCAGAAATAGGAAATTACTTCTCTCTCAGAATATGTATGTTACATCCTTGGCTGGTGCACTGCCTCCATTCACCTTGAGAGAGCTCCTCAGTCCTGCTTCTCTCCATCCTTGTGCTTGAACCTGTCTGGGGGGGGGGGGGGGCAGCAGGATGGTGTGTCCCTGTGTTCCTGCTTGGTGTCTCTATGGCTGTTTGTCCTACATTGCAAGATGCAGAGATATCGCAGAGCAGAAATTGATGTGTTTTGGGGGGGCATCGCTGTGTCAGGTCTGTCCCTGGGGGTGGTAGCTCTTCTGCTGGTGTACAGACAGGCATGTCTTCCTGGGAGCACTGGTGGTATAGGAGCTGATGCCCATGTCTCCTTCCTTTCCAATTTCTAGGGTGGATCTGGCCAACGTAACCAACCCAGCACCATGCAGCAAAAGTCTCAGGCTACCAAAACTACCTATGGCACTTCTCCATACTGGACAACCTAAATCCAAAACTGGAGAGGAGGGAGAGAACGGAAGGAGAGAAGGAAAAAAAAAAAAAAAGAGAAAAAAAGAAAAGCTGAAGCCCATTCCTGGAATTATTAGGAGAAGTAGTAACTGCTCAGCCAAATGCCTGTGTGGGGAGAGCTGCAGCCATGCAGCCAGCCAGCCAGTCAGCCATCCGTCCATCCATCCTCTGAGTTGCTGTTGTATGTAATATATTTATGTATGTAGAGCCTGGTTTCTTTTCTTTGTAGGAAAACTAATTATTAATTTTCCTTCTGTACCAGAGCATCCTTCCTTGTTTTTGCTTTTAAGCTTTATAACTGTCAAAGACAAACTGTTGGTCTTTTTGGGTGTTTTTTTCTTTTCTTTTTTTTTGAGCTGAAGCCTATTTATTTAATGCAGCTCTAAATTCAGGCAAATAAGGAGGCCTACCGCCCCCTTCCCCCCAAAAAAATAAAATAAATCAAGATGTGTCCTGTTACTTTGGTTTCTGCTCACAGCCCCCAGTCTAGCTGTTATTTTAAAGAGAGAGGGGAAAAAAAGGGAAAAAAAAGTTTTAAAAAAGTTTTGTGGGCCTTCCCCTTTCTTTTGTCTCCTCCCTCCTGCTGTGGAAGATGAAGTCTTGTGGGCAGTTTGCTCACTGTAACCCTGAGCTGTAGCCTCATCTACTTACTGAAAAATTGAAAAATAAAGAAAAACAAAAAGAAAGGCTTTTCCTGTTTGGTTGGTTGGGGTTTATTTGTTCATTGGTTGGCTTCTCTAGCAAGAGATTTCAGATTGCTCAGTGGATCCTGGAACCTCCTTTGCATCTTTAGAGGCAAAAACTATGTAGCAGTTTCTTAAATAAAAGCATAAGTTATGTCTTATGCCTTTCTTTGCCCTGAGTTGCATCACCTAGGAAGTCCAGAGCTACTAGATGGACACTTCACCTGTTCATTCCCACTTTTTTTTTTAAAACAAGACCCTGGAGGCAACTCCTGGTCTTGCAGTGAATGGTTTTGGAGTTTCATTTTGTTTTAGCCCTTCCTCCACCTAATAAAGACTGAAGCATATCACTGGTATTTGTCTGTATTTTCAAAGGTTTCAGGAGCTCAGCCTATCCATTTCTACCTGCCTAGAGAGTAACAGCAGCAGCTGGGTCTGCAGGGGATGCCAAATACTGACAAATGTGAGTGCACCTCAGTGCTGAGAGCTCAGAGCCACCTGCAGCAGTGATTGGATCCTGGTCATAAGCATCATATCTCTGGCACTGTGCTCTGAGTCCCTGTGGAGCAGCTGGGATAGGTAAGGAGGCAGCACAGCTGCAGCATTATCCTCTCTTGCTTTGGCCATGGCATGGTCTCCACCAGGAGCAAGGTCAGTGGTGAAGGCTCCTGAGGGATGGCTCCTGCCCTAGGCCCATCTTCCTGAACATCCTTGCCCCTCACAGCAGAGGGGGCTAGGTAAATATGAAGCCATGTTGTATCCATGCTGCAGGTGAGGGTCTTTTTTGCACTTCCTAATTCTGTGGGATGCACTTGCCAGAAGTCAGTGTGTCACTCAGCATTCCTCCTCCCCTCTGAGCAGCACATGAACTGCATTGGCCTTCCTCTGCTCTAGCTCAAGTTTTGATAATGGTCAAACCACCAGCTGCTGTCCCACTGCTACCAGCTTTAGGGAATGAATGTCAAGGAGGGCAAAATGCTTCTGCAGGCTCAAGACTAAGAGCTTGTAGAAGGGTTGCACCAACAGCTGAGACCAAGCAACAGCCCCTAATTTACGTGTGGTCAGAGCTGCCATTTGAAAAACACCCCACCAACCCCTAAAAGCCATCTTCAGACACTTTTTTGCTTATAAAACTCCACTGCTGCCTCACAGGTGTAGGTCAGTCCTTGCTTGTCTGTTAGGGTCCAGAAGCTGTTGAAAGTGGCAAAAGGTAACAGATGAAAGTTGGTGCTAGTGCACAGCAGCCCCTTAAGTAGCTGCAAGGGAGATGTCTTCACAAAGATGTCAGCCAGTGCTTCATTGCTGGCCCCAGCTGCACAATTTCCAGCCTCAGCAGATGCTGTGGGTACAAAAGGGCAACACTTCCACACATGGAGGTGATGGGCTATATTGCCCTCTGGCATCCTCCTTTTTTCCCCAGCACAAAACAGCAAAGGCAATTCCAGCACCTTCCCCCCTTGCTCTGGGGCCCTGACTGCAGTCAGCCACGGGTAGTCTCTCCTCCTCTCCAGGCAAGACAAAACAGGATATTTTCCCTTTTCCCTACACTGTTGGTTCCAGCAGGGCTCTTCTGCAGCTGTTTCCTCACTAATACCCTGTTCTACCAGTGATGGCAGAGCCAAGGTTGCTCAGCTGAACTCAGCCATCAAGGAAAGGGGGAAAAAAACCCAAAACAACCCAAACACAACCAACTTGCACATGTGGCAGCCAGGTTTACCCAGTGCAGAGCAGGCTTGAGAGCTTGTCCTGGCTTTGGTACCACACCTTCTGGATTAAGAAGCTACCGGTAGCTCTGGGCAGCCTGGTGCTGTAGGAGCGAAGCAGGAGATACAAGCTAGCCTGATCCAATCAGATGACCCAGGCACCACCATCTCTCTCCATCCCATTCCTCAATATAGATACTCATCTAGGAATGCAGCTCTGAAATGCCATCACTATTCTTCAAGCGCAAGGCCACTCAGGCCACAACCACATTTGACTCTGCAGTTGCTGCCCTCCAAGCAATTTCAAGCGCAGTAAGTGCAACTCCTGTACAAGTGTCCTGCTAGTTTTAGCTTGACCTCAGCAGCAAGGCACTGCAAAAGCAAACTTCTCCACTTGCACATGCTTCCTCTGCTGTGCTGCCCTGTCAGGGAACCAGCCACCAGCAGCACCCCAGCCCCATGGCAGCAGCAGCAACTTTACCCCAAGTCCTGCATCACTGCTGCAGTCATGACACCATGAAACATCTTCTCCTTGCTCTCCCCTTTGCTGACTTAGCAAGACTAAATATAACAACAAAGCCCATGGCCTTTTGCCTGTTCAGGCATGTAGCTGTCAACCGGAAGCTTTATTTTCCAATGACTTTATAAATATTTAAGTATAGGCATTGCTACTGGAGCAGCAATGAACTTGTAAAAAAAGAGCTGTTATTCAAAGCTTTAAATAAACCATGCAAATAAACCAGCTCAATTAACAGTGAAGTAACAGTCCAGGAATATCTTAATTTCACATTTTTATTAGTAGACAGATGTGCAAAAAAGACAAAAGATAACTATTGAAGGGGAGGACAACACAAAAAACTGCATCAGTTAATTCTTTCTGGTAAGTTATACTAAAAAAAGCCCACAACAACCCATCTGGGCTTTCAGCTAAGAAAAACTACTAAGAAATCTAGCGTATGCTGCTGGCTTCAGAATAGGTGGAAACTGCATTTGAAGGGGAATACAGATCAGGTAAACATTTTTCCACAGGTTCTTAAATACCCTTAAACCCCTTGTATTTCAGTAAACAACAAAAAAAACAACAGGTCAACAAGCAATGACACTGCATAGGACAGTGGGGAAGACAAATTACTCTGCTAATGGAGGAGCTCACAAAATAGGTTGTCTTGAAAAAAAAAGGGTAACAGAAGAGTCATGATAATGCATCTTACACTACCAAGCTTGAAAATTCAAGTTACTGGTGAGTATTCAGTGAGGATAGTGAAAAATACAAGGGCAAGCCTGGAAGATGCAGTATCATTTCAAACTAAGTCATCAGCACAGCCAGCATTGCCATACTCTGCTCCTTCACTCCCCAAATCTGGAGGCTGGCCTCTCTACCCCAGTGTGGCCCTGAGACCAATCCTGTATCCAGGTGTACTAGGGGCCCATTTGCAAACACTGACATTGCCCTAATGCCAGCTCCAGAATACACCAGGAGTCAGTGCTTGCTGGAAGGACAAACTGAATTAGCCCATGTGGGACAGTTCAGGAGGGGTCCAGCTGCCTCCCTAGGTAACATGCAAACAGGAGGGTGGACCATCACAGGGAGCACTGGGGGGGGGGGGGGGGGGGGGGGAACAAGGCATCCTGAGCTCAGGTAGCCTTTACTCTGCAGGAGGTAGAGGGATGCACCACCAGCACACCCTGGGGCATAGGAGCAGGGGCTGTCCCTGCAGCAGCAAACCCCAGTCAAGCAAAATTTTGAAAACACATCTGCCCTGCTCACTTCTGAACCCCACCAGTCTTTCTCCCTGCCTCTCCCTCCAGGCAGCACACTTTATTCTGTGATCAGATGTATCTTGGGGTAAGGACCAGGACAAGAGTGAGCAAGTGCAAAGTTTACTCCCACCAAAGCACCCCTTGAGGGTCTGCAGCTGGTGACATACCAATGAAAACCCTGAGATATACAAAGGCAAGGCATAAACAAATGCTCAAGCCTGCAGCTCTTATCAGGGAAACTGCCTCTGTACCTGTAGGAACGGAGGCTCTTGCCCAAGCAGGGCCAGCATCTCAGATCTGCTCCTGGAGGTGCCAGGGCTCAGTGCAAGAGGGCAGGGCTGGCTGCTGATCAAGGGGTCATGCAAAAGATGAATTCAAGCCACTGTACCACAGCCAAATGAGAGCACACTGCAACAGGGTGAAGGTGTTGAAGGACTGAGGAAGAGGGTTCTGCAGACATAAGCATGCAGGATCCCCACTGCCCACAAGGGAGAGCCCTAAACTCTGCCAAGAACTCCCCAAAACATGCAGGAGACTGAGCTTGGTGCACCAACTGAAGCATGCTGCTAAATAGCCTGTCAAACCTTGCCACTCCTACAGCCTGAAATCAGTGCAGTCTCCTCACCTGTGGTGCTGCACACACTCACCCATGCCCCAGCCAGCCAGGCAGGGGAGAGCCCAGCACACATCCATACTCCACCCCAGGTAGGCACCAAAGGCAGCTTTGACTTTTGCCAACCCCACAGAGATATAGCAGGACTGCATTTACCAACATGTGGCCTACATAACCAACAGAAAGGCTCAGGCCAGCACTGGACTTGGGCTGCAGGAAGCAAGGGCTGCTAGTGAGCACTGGGGCAGGAGGCTATCAGTCTCTCCCACTGCCAAAAAACAAGTTTGGGATGAACGCTGGCCCACTGGGCAGCAGGATGCACTTCTGTTTTCCTCCCTCGGGAGAGGGGCAGGTGGCAGCAGATCTC